AAAAAAAAAAGAAAGAAAGAAAATTAATAATGGGCAGTATTCACTTTATAGGGAGTGTATAGCTCAGAAGAAATTAGCTTAACTTACCGATGTTTTCTGTGGTGTTGAATTGCTGCGTATGTGGTACCATTGGTGGGAGGGAAATCATTATTTTTATAAAGATGTTCAATGAACCATTTTCCAGAGACAGTCTATTAATTTAAGTCTGCTGCTCTTCACCTGGAGAGTCTGAAAATATGTTAACCAAATTTGTAACAGCTTTAGGTGGGAGGCAGGAAGGTCTGCTGAGAGCTCTCCAGCAGCCATGGCCCTGGATTCTAATCGCAGGAATTGCAGCAGCTGCCTGGCTCATTGGCAGGTGGCGCAGTGGCTGTGTAGAGGAGGTCCACCTGGCCACATGTCTATGAAAGTGGAAGAGTAACCGTGTCCAGGAGGGAGCCTTCATCCCACGTCATCATTACCCCCAGAGACGGTGGGCCTCCATCACCACTGGTCTCACCACTGAGGTGGCAGGCAGCGGACGAGTGTGAGGGACCCACATTCTGGTAGCTGCAGCTGCTTGAGCAAGCTACTCCTGCAGGAGCCTTCAGACCCTTGTCTGTGAAGGGGGAGATGGTGCTTCCTTCCCAGGGTGAGTGAAGGACTAGCAACAGCGCCCAACACCCCACAAATCCTGACTAGATAGAAAGGAAGTCAGGGCTCAGACTCCACAGATGACAGCTTTCATGATCAGTAGAGGGTCAAAAACTCTTTAGGCACAGCTGACTCTTACAGAAGTTCTTGTCCTTAGAGAAGGTGGCCGTACTCAGCTTTTGGCCTTGGTGACCTGAAAGCCCCAACAGAAACTCTCTCCCTGGGAGCTGCTTGCTCTAGGGACGACATGGCTCAGAAGAGTTTTCAGGCTCTGCACACAAAGCACGAGTCTCGGAAATGAGCAGCATACCTGTTCAGACATTTCACCGTTTCCAGTTCCAATCCCAGATGGAGGCCAGAGCGTCTCCATCTTCTGCAGTGCCCAGGCCGGCTCTTTAGCTGTTCATGCCTTAGCTTGATAAGTCGTTCATCCTTTCTCAATTTTTCATTTGTCCGTTTATGTATTCACCATTTCATTTAGTAGCTAGCTATTCTTAAGCCTCTGATGTGTGTCAGATGCCAGATTAGGCACTAGGGACGCGGTGAGAAAGTCCTGGTGTCCCAGCCACTGGTCTCTGCCCCTGAGCAGCCATCCCCCAGCATGTGCTCAAGGCCGCCTTCTCTGTTCTCTTCTGCTCCCCCTGCCTCTGCTCACTTCTCCGCAGCCATCCTTCCCTAGGCCCCATGAGCCTCGCCTTCCTGAGGAAAGTACATGCTGTGGCAGTAAAGCCAACTTCACAGCTTGTTCAAAGCACAGCTTCACTTATTCTGTGTCAGCAGGAGAGGGAGCAGGACGCATTGGAAGGGAGAACATTTCGTCATTCTTGCTGTGGACAAAGTGTGGCCTGGTGGAAGTCCACCCAGTGGGGAAGGGAAGTCCACCCAGTGGCTTTTGCCCCTGCCTTCTGGCTCACTAGGGTCGAGCCAGAGAGGAGTTGGGGGTGGAGCAGGTGTATACAGAACATTGCTTTGTAGGTGATTACAGGTTTAAAGAAGAGAGTCACTGTCATTCAGAATCCACACTGTTACATGGGCAAATAGGGATGCTTTCTAGACTGCTGCCTGCAGTTCACAGTGAGGCTGGCTCATTGTGAGGAGGCGGAAATCCCGTGGATCTACCCCTAACCAAGACAGGAGCCACAGATCCCAGTGGACGAGGCCGGAGGGGTAGCTGCAGTTGTAGTAAGGGAGCGTCATGTAGAATGCCTACTCTGTGACAGGCTCATTGAAAAATGCTGACTAGAGAGAAAGGAAGTCAGTGCTCAGAGCAGCCTTCAAAGATGTTGTCAGAGTCCTTGTTTTATATGTAAGGATATAAAAACTCAGAAACTCTCCCAATGCCACGTGTCACATGCAACATGGCAGAGCCATACTTGGGCTGAATTCTGACTGATGCAAAGCTGTGCATGCCTCATCATGTTGGTCTCTGTTCATGGAGAAGTTTCCTACAGACTCCTGCCAGAGCCCCTGAGGACAAAGGAGGAGGCTCCCCAGGTGTGCGTAGAGTGGTTTTCTTGAGCAGACTAAGCCACACAGCTCCCCTTCCTTCACTGGTGCCCGCGCTTTGGCCAAGCTGCTGCCTAGGATAACAGCAGCGGGTAAGGCGTGCGGTTTGGACGGAGGCCCTAGGAAACGTTGCCAGGGCTGGGCAGACCTGAAGTGGCCATCCCACCATCCCAGCCATACCTGCAGAAGTTGGGAGATGTCACTCCAGCTCTCATGGCCCTTCCTGTGCTTGAGATTGAGAGGCCTGGGGTGGGGTGGGCAGGTGCAGAGTTGCCCAGCGAGCTCTCCATTCCGTGTCCCCTCTGTCATGTCCTTAGCCACAGAGGCCTCCCATGGGGACTGCACAGCACCTCAGAGGGCCCTTCTACATGCAGAGTTCTTCCATGTGGGGGGAAATCAGAGAACCCAGATTCCAAAGGAGTTTTCCCCCATAACTTGAGAATTATTAGAAAAATAATTCTGGAAAGGGCTGCCACGTCAATGCCATTCACATAGATTGCTTGCTAGTTTACATATTTCCAGAAAAGTAAAAAAAGGGGGAAAAATCATCCATTTTAGCCAACTTTATTTTTAGAAAAGTATTTTATTCAAACATCCCCTTACTTATTACAGACATAAATACATGCATTCAGACAAATGAATCCACGGGAGGCCCATATAAAGTAATTGGCACATCGCTTCAGGATGCTTTGTCAGTTACTGGAGGAATTTGGTGCCTCCAACTTTAATCTTCTCCATTAAAATATCCATTCTGCCTTCAGATTGTGAAGCCCATAATATTTTAGACTGTCTCCACGGATCTGTTAGTTTTGCTTGTCAATTTAATTTGTGGTTCTGTGACTGGGTGGTTGTTAGCTGTGCACGGAAACGTGGCATCTGCAAATCCTGATGGGCGTGCGGGCTCGGGCCCCAGCCTCTCTCCAGGAGACTGGACACACAGCAGTCTGGAGTGGCAGCGGCATGTGCAGCCCGCCTAACGACAGTGGTGGTGTGTTGTGGCTGGCGCCGCCGAGGGCTTCAGAGACACTCCTGGGCTATGAACAGTGCTGCTCACTCCTTGTGTTACATCTTATCCCAACTGCCTCTTGATCCTCAGCCTCCTTGTGCTGGATCACTGCTTCCCTCTTCAGAGTTAACAATGCTGAGACACAAGATCACAGAGAAGATCGAATTGCAGAAAGTTCCAGAAGTCAGAAGCCAGTATTTCAAAGGAAGCCAAGTCACCAAAGCCCAGATGTGGTTGCCTTGCCACCTAATTGCCACTTTCCCTACCCCTTTGGGAAAAAGAGATCTAGAGCTGTGGGAGCAGAAGGGCCCAAGGGAGACAGAGCTGGAGAAGCAAGGACTGTGGTCAGCTCTACGTGATGCCCGGACTGTCCCAGCAGCCTCCCCGGGCTTCTCTGCAGGGTCACCTCTAAGAGCATGTTTTGCACATCTGCAGGGGGACCTGTCTTACCCACAGATCTGGGTGAAGTTCAGCTTCTCTACATGGTCTTCCAGCCTGACCCCAGGTCTCACTTCTGCTTGCCTCTCCTCCTCCCGGTACACGAATCCCTCGCCATCACAGAAGCCATTGTGCTCAGTCCAGTGCTCCTGCTTTTTACTTCTTTCTCTGCTTAGACACATTGTTGATGACCTCCTTAAAGGCTGCCTCCACCCTGGAGCCCCCCCCCCCACAGGCAGCCTCCCTTTGCAGGCCACAGCACTTTGCCCCGCCTGGTTCCTATTGTCTATCTGGGCAGCCTTCCCCATGGGGGTCGCGCCCTTGGGTGCAGGGGTTGTGGAGACACCATTCTTCTCTCCACCTCTCGAGTGTCTCTCAGACTTTGCATAGAAGAGAATGGATGTGTGTGTGTGTGTGTGTGTGTGTGTAGGAGAAAATGGAGAGTGGAGAACCCCAAAGGAAGAAGGGTTAAGAAGCGTTAGCAGGCTGAGCCAGCAGGAAACATGACATTCCAAGGTCAGATGGAATGTGTCCCATTCTTCTGTCCCCGAGAGGGGCTATGGAAAAACATCACCTGTCCATAACATGACCTGTTAGGTGAAATGAGAGGTGAGTTAGGCCTGTGTATCAGGGTTGAGAAGCAGAGACTGACCCTCTTGGCTCCGTGGCCTGATTTCTGCCCTCCCAGAAGACCCTCAGTAAGCTTTTGGTGGTGGAGACTTGCTCACAGGCAGGGGTTTTGCCAAGAGTTCCTACAGGCAGCCTCCTAGGCACCTGGAGTCAAAGCTATCTGGCCAGGAAGAGCCTTCTGGCTCTAGCAAGATGGAGTTCATTAAAGGCCTGTGGGACTCTGTCTTGTAGATGATGTCTGTCCTCATGAACACCATTGTCTTTGAAGACTGTCGGAACCAGTGGTCGGTATCCAGGCCTCTCCTGGGGCTTATCCTGCTCAATGAGAAGGTGAGTGTGGCTACAGGAGGTCCATGGGGGTTGGGGGTAGTCCCTGGGAGGAGAGGAAAGCCATCCTCCAGGCTTAGCTGTGACAGTAAGGGCAGGAGCAGAGCCATCTGAGTGTGCTAGGACCTTGACAGCTCATAGCAAGCCCTCTGCCCCCAGGAGGGCCTTCCCCAGAGGCCTTGGGTCTTCAGTTGAACAGAGGCACCCTGTGAGTGAGGTGGATGGTTTGCTCAGGAGTGCTTCAGGTCACCTCCCCTTCCCTCTCTCATCCCAGGGGAAATCTGAGCATTAGCCCCTTTGCCTCCTGGGCCTGGGCCCTCTTAAACCTAGGATCCCAGTGCCCTGGGTGGTGGCAGCAGAGATGTGTTCATAGAGCCCGCGCCCTTGGTCAGGGAACGCAGTCTGCAGCTCTGAAGCGCACGGCCTCCCTGGGCCACCTCCTGCCACTCCAGCTTCCTCCTGAACCCACCTGCTCCCCACAGTCAGTGGGAACAGTACATTACTTCTTGGGAGAATGAATTGTCCATACAATAAGACAGTACTGGGGAAAGGAGCAGGAGATTAGAGGCAGCCGCATACATTAAAATTCAAACTAAAATCTCAGCCTTGGAAGGAAACTAATAGAAGAAGAAAATATATCAAAAAGAGCAGAGCTGTCCCATCATTCACCTGTGCTGAAGCAGCCAATTTTAGCCACATTCAATAGCACTGTCATTCATCTTCCCTCAGTGTTATTGTGATTTAAATCCAAGCTCTATAAAAGAGAGCAGTTCTTTTAAAATGATTGAGAGGGAATAAGGGCAAATTCAGTGTTTAGAAAAAGCTTATGACATCACAATATTATACTTTACTGATGGAGGCAATATTTCATGGTTTGGGATGAAAAACTAATAATTTTCTATTTGGTGTGAGTCACTGCATCATTATAAGAGGGAAAAATAAGTAGTTTTGTGCATTCCCGATCTTGTTCAGGAAGGCATTGTGGTTTGAGTGTGATGCCTCTGATATATAGTATTTAAGTATTAGTCTGACTACATATTAATTATGTGTGTTTCTGATGTGAGCTGTTTTAATGTATGATGGAAATTAAATACCATGCTGCTTGGGCTTGGGAGGGTGAACACATGCCTGGCAAAACGTGGTCTTTGTGCTGAAATTACGCCCTTTGCAATGATCAGGAGCTGTGCTCGGCCTCCGAGCTGTTTGTATAAAAGCCTACAGACCCGGGACAGAGAAGAAGGGGCTGGGTAGATATTTGTAAGAGGGTTAGACAGATTGTTTTCCTTAGTGCCAGTAGTCTCTCCTAGAGCTCAGCAAAGCCTCCAATCCCCTGCCTCAGCCGAGCACACCCATTCTAATGCACAAGCACAGAGACTTGGAACACAGCCCCAAGGCGTTGGAGCAGTGATTCTCTGTAGCCAGAGGATAATAAGGCCTGAGGGGAGACCCTTGGCCCTTCCTTCAGTCACCCAGGTCACCCAAAGTGCTTGTGACTAAGGTCTTCCTCTCAGCCTGGGCCCTTCCTCTCAGCCCCTCTGTGATGCCTGGAGATGAGCTGGGGAAGACTGGGTCAGTCTCCCCAGAGCGGTCAAGGGCTCAGCCTGAGCAGCGACAATGGAAAAATGAGGCCAGCAGAGTTTGTCATTGTTTTGTGGTGCTGGGAATTGACCAGGACCTCCCAAGCCAGGCAGACACTCTGCCACTGAGCCGCATCCCCAGCCCCCCAGCAAGAGACAGAGATTTTTGTGAGCAGGGACAGTGCTGTCCCCACCTGGGAATGTGTCTGTGCCAAGGTTTGCTCTCAGGGTTAGATTTTAATACAGACCCAGACGAAAACTCTTGAGCTTAGCAGGCCGAAAGGATCCGAGTGGTCCTGGCCCTCCCACACAGCTCAGGGTGACAGCCCTGATGTGCTTCTGTCTTCCACAGCATTTCAGTGAACTTCGAGCAAGTCTGATAAACAGCCAGCCTCTCCCCAAGCAGGAAGTCCTTGCCCAGTGCTTCAGGAACTTGATGGAGGGAGTGGAGCAGAACTTGTCCATCAAGAACAGAGACAGGTGAGCACTGCCCAGCAGGGCATCTCAGAGAGGCCGATGTAGGCCATGTGGCTTGTTGAGAATCATGACACTGTGCTTAACTTAACACGCATGTTGACATGGGTTTTCTGTTACACCTGGTGACCCTGAGCCAGCTCAGTTCCCTTCAGAGCACGTGACTGCTGTTTGCTTTCTTCCAAACAAAGTGCTGGGAATCACAAAGATGCAGAGATGAATGAAAACAGCCCTTGACTTTAGTTTCTAACCCAACAGGAGAGAGACGAAAAATAACTGTAATTGGAAAGTTGAACAGGAGAGCTCAAAGCTGCCAGGAGGATGAGGGGAGGCTTCCTAGGGCTGGAACAAGCACAGGCCCCGAGGCCAGACCGCAGACCCCAGTTAAATGTGATCCCTGCCCCTGTAGGCCATGTGGCAAAGGCCGGTAAAATGGGGCCCATGACCATCGACTCTGGGGCTTAAGTGGCAGGATGTAGTAACGGTGGAACTTGGGCAGGTGACCTGCGGCAGTTGTAGGTTCCCTCCTCTGCCTCTCCTTGCCAGTGAGATCTAAATAGGAGGAGCTGAACCCACCGCCAAGGCTGCACGTGCCCATTCGTTCATTCGTTTAGTTCACAAACCTTGACTGGGCTGCTGCGTGCAGACTGGGCCGTGCCCGTCAGCACCAGGTGGTCCTGGGGCTGGCCCTCTGGTGGAAGACATGGACAGCAGCCCTTGAGAGGGGAAGAGAGTGTGTTCAGAGGAAAGCTGCCTGCGCCACCTTCATGATTGTGGCCTTGGAGTGCCTGTCCTTAGTCATCCGCCAGCAGTGCACTGTGGCCACCAGCCTGGCCTCAGTAACACAGGGCCAGGTCAGGTGGGACGTGTGACCTGTCCCCCGGCCTTGCGCTGCACCGGGAGAGCTGATGAAAAGAGGCTCTTTTCTGGGGAGGCTCCTTCGCCTGGACCAGGAACTTGGAGCAGCCCTGAGCTGCTCTGGAGTGGCATTGGGCAGCCCTTGGGTTCAGGAGAACAGGCCTTTGCAGGGAGTTTTCCTCAGACCTGCCGCTGTGTTGGGGTCTTGGGGACATTGCCTCAGCCAGCTCGCTAAATCCTCAGCTCTACAGTCCCTCCAAGTAGCTCTCATACTGGGCACCAAGAGGAGACATCAGGCATTCCCCCAGGGTCCCCCAGCTCGCGGAGGGGGAGCCTGGGTTTGAACCCAGGCAGTCAACCCAGGGCCCCCTCTTTTTCAACCACCGCTTTCAGGTTCCCTTCTGTAAACTGGGGGTACTCACCTACCTGTGGAGAGACTTGTGATTACGTGCGTTCCTGTGTAAGCTCCGTCCAGCTCCTGGCACCTAAACTTTCGGCCCTTTCTTTATATTCTCTGCCGCTCTATGGAGTTGGGTTTTTAACAAATGTTTTGAATAGTAGGACCACAGACAACACACGCCGCCCAGCCGTCAGTGGGTCTGGCGGCAGCCCTTGTTTTCCAGCAGGATCAGGGGTAGGTGCTGCTGGTGGAGCAACGATGGCAGGGGGTAGCTGGGCGGAGCCAGCAGCACAGGGAGCCTCCTTCTGACTGCTGCTTCTCTCTGCAGGTTCACCCAGAACCTCTCTGTCTTCAGAAGAGATGTGGCAGAGGCCCTGCGCTGCGATGGCCACACAGAACCATGCAGCCTGGACATGATGAGCTGACCCGAGTCCTGCCGGATGCCAAGCAGTCTACCAGGACAGCAGCGCTGGCTGGCCCAGGGGGATCTGGTTTTCAAAACAAATGATAGACTCCCTACCTTTTTATAAGTCTCGCCTAATTACACAAATTTATAACAGTACACACACAGTGTAAATTCAGTCTTTGCTCTGACAAAGCAAAACATGTTCAGTCTTTCTGCCGAGAGCGTTCTCCGCCCTCACAGTGCTCTGCAAGGGTATAGAACGATATTTAACCAAAGAGCCTAATAACCCAGGTTTGCCTAGCCTTGCATTCAGCGGTGGTTCTACAGTCAAGGCCGTCAGAGTGTTGGTGATGCAGACTTCAGTGCGGATCCTGCATTGAGACAAATGCCACTTGAACCTGTGAAATTAGTATTTGCTTTGTGTCTACAAGAAGCCGCTTTGGGGACTCTGGGCTGTGGGCATTTGGAAGGAGCCTCCCCCGGGAGCTGCAGGCTCTGCCCCCCGCAGCCTCCAATAGAGCTGAGAGACACTAACACAATTAAATGACTCACAAACAACGCCTGCCATCACTAGCACGCATCTGAGTGGTTGAGTTTAGAGTTAAGCTGTGCGACTGCAGGCTGCAGGGGGCTCTTCAGGAGGAGTCTGGTAGGCCCGGGAAGAAGTTCCAGTCCAGCAGCACCTAGCCTTCTGGCTCCGTTTAGTTTTTAAGAGAAGCTCAAGGAACTCAAATATAATATTTGGAGCAGCTCTACTTTCTTGGGCCGCCCAAAACAGTTCTAGGTGCTACAGTTGAGGTTTTGCGGGCCACACCTGTTCCCATCCCTTCACACACAGACCCGCACTGCTGGGGGACTGCGACTCAGTCCAGCCCAGAGGTGCAGAGGGCCTGCTCAGCCTGCCGCTGCGCAACCAGGCTATTAATTTGAGCTCGCCACTGTCAGATGGTGTTTGTGTCTCACTGCTCTGTCCGTGGTTCAGGCTTATAATAAATACAGTGCCCTTTGTTTCTGATAAGACATGAAAGGTTGGCCTTACTGTTGAGCAAGCAGTCATCCACAGGCTCCTGTTGTAATCTCATTTCTAGACTAGTATGTCTCAACCTTTCTTGGTAGTTGAGCTTTGCAACAGGCCTGTCATATGACACCGCAGTAGTCCACGTTTAACTCAAAGTGTTCGTCTTCCCTGTGGAGGAAGTCGGAAAACTGTTACTGGTGGGATTCCTTCCAGTGTTTGATGGATAAGGAAGCCCAGGCCTTACTCTGTTTTCCTTGAGAAGGCGAATTC